GACAAGATAAATACAGAGTGACATTTATACATTAAAGGGCATTTCAGACGATGGCATGTAATACTTATTTTGTTCACTTGGGGGAGCTTGGGCTATATGACGATAGCTCTGATTAATCCTAAAACAATCTTCTTAGGAGCTGGGGAATTTAGTCATTTTTAACCTTAAATTCAAGCTGGAAAATTAATAGTATAGGATGACATTTCTTTATCATCATTTCTAAAGGAAGTGTCAGAAAGTGTTGTGAACAAAGCTTTGGTTACACATAAAATGAATAAAGTCAGGTGACCTAGCTGAAAATTAAAACACTGCAAAATTAACTTATTTAGATTCTTTTCAACAACAAATAACACCAACATGGTAACATAACTACTCAAATGGAGTGTAGAGACCTAATCAAGTAACTAAAAGATTATTTAATTAAACAAGATAATGGCAAGTTATGAGGAGACAGTATTCCTTGTCCACACAAAGGAATGTGTCCTTTCTCTGGCGTCTCAAGTTTCTCACACCTGCGCGTGAAGAGGAGAATATCCTTTGATGTGAGGTAATTAAAAAGACAAGAAGGTCAGTTGCCGTGGTTACGCGTGTGGGGGCAGTTTAGGGTTTCCTGCCCTCTCTTACGAAGAGTTTTGATAGGCTGTTCATGAGAACGCTAATCTCTGGTCAGTGTTCCTTTGTCATTTTAACAGTCAGGCACCGAGGCTTATCACGGCTGCTGCCAAAGGTGGCCAGTTTTACAATCAGACCAGATACAGCAAACCTTTCACCTCTTCCTTGGAGTCGCTTCGACTGTCTGTTGAGTTGATATCTCACCCCCTCCTCCAAGAATTTGGAGTAGTCCAAATGTATTTGATTTAAAATGCACAAATCCACACTGTTTGTTCACAACACTGGCGTATGTCCAGGATAAGTTCCTTTGTCTTTGTGACGCTGAGGAGGAGGTGGCTGTCTTTACACCATTGTGTGAAGTGTGCAATGGATTGGTGATATGCTGTAACTGATTCTGTGTCAGAGAGGTGGGCGAGTATGGCTGAGTCATCAGAGTATTTGAAGTATTTTGTAATGGGAGAAGGGCTAATGCAGTCATTGGTGTAGAGAGTGTAAAGAAAGGGGCTCAGGACGCAGCCTTGGGGGGCTCCAGTGTTGACAGTAATGGTGGTGGATGTAGTGCTTCCCACCCTCACTGCCTGTGGTCTGTCAATGAGGAAATTATGGATCCAGCGAATGAGGAGAGGTGGCACATGCAGGTGGTGGAGTTTAGTAATCATGGTGTGACGTTGAATTGTGTTGAAAATTGTTTGCTGCAGACAAACAGTGTGGCTTTAAACAACTAAAGTAGAAAACTTGCCATCAACTCAGCATTCACCACTAACCAAACAACAACTGTCACAACTTCAAAGCAGAACTAAAAACCATTCTCTTCTCTGTGAAATATAACATTGGTACACTGTAAACGTCATTCTTTTAGTCAGAGGGATTTTTAGAGAGCAGTTTAAAATATAACGTTTCTCCCCCTGAGATGTAATCTAATTACTTATATTTGGACTAAAGATTTAATTTAAACAGAAATGAAAACAATATATTGAAATTTATTTTGTAAGGATTTCTTAAATGTGCTTAAACAACTTTGAAATGTGCATAATAAATGTGAACTCCTTTGATCAAAATGTATAGCATTCTAATCCTGCACAGGAGAACCTCAGACAAACCTTGATAACATTAGAGATATACAGTACATGTCAAATGTATTTTCTGTGTATATGATGAAAAAAGGATGGAGATCAATGTGTGGGTTATTTAGCTGATTTAGAGGGTTTAGAAAAGAAGCTGCACGAAGTCAGAAACCGTTAAAGACACAAAGTGTTTTTGTCAGTACAGTGGTTAAACATGATAAACTGATTTTGTCTTTCTGTGAACATCAAAAATATGTTGATTTTCCCTGGGGCCAATTAGTCTACCATCATTCATGGTATGAGATCATTGGAACTTTTCTAAAGACACAAGACTAAGATGATTTTCTAAACACCATGAATAATAAAATGTGTCAGCTGGGATCTAACCATCACGTTCTTTCCTCAGCTACTGGACAGAAGCACCTTCTGGTGAAGCTCATTGTGTGATTTCTATCAGAGGGACACCTTCCAAGAAATGGAATGCTGTGAAGTGTGATGATGAATACTGTACTTAACATTCATACCAATGGAGCAAATTTGTATTGAATTGAACTGAATATCACAATTAAGAGACTAAAAGTGTTACTATCATCAAATGTGGATTTTCTTCTACTTTGAAAGGGCCACAATAATGAAATGTTGAATATCAAGATATGATGTGATTTAAGAGAGGAACCTGCAAATTGTTCAGTCTCCATAAAGCCCGTCAATTCAATTCAGCTTTATTGGCAAGAATGTAAAACAACAATATTGCCAAAGTTACAAATAAAATACAAAAGAACAATTCATTTCATACAGTTCATTAAATAAAGTAAATAAAACAAAAGGGTTTGTTTGGGTGTGTCTCTTCGTGTTGCCTTGATCTGGCTACCCACCTAAAAAGATACAAGAGAGAAGCAGAAGCCAGGAGAATAAACCGGATGTTCCCCACCGAACCATCCAAAGTGTACTCTCAGTGGCAGGGTAATAACACAAGATCAGATCCACCCAGGAATCTGAACAGTACTGGAAGAACATATGGGACAAAGAAGCGTCCCACAACACCAATGCTCAGTGGCTAGTGGATCTAAGAACAGATCACAGTAATCTCCCAGAACAAGATCCAGTAACCATTACAACGGCAGACATCCAAGAAAGAGTGGCAGGTATGAAGAGCTTGACAGCACCAGGCCCTGACATAATCCACATCTACTGGCTGAAGAAACTAACTGCACTCCATAAACGTCTGGCAGCACAAATGAACCAACTGCTGATGGATGGGACCCACCCAGAATGGTTAACCCAAGGATGGACAGTCCTGATCATGAAGGACCCCCAGAAGGGAACAATCCCATCCAACTACCGGCCAATAACCTGCCTCTGCACAACATGGAAGCTCCTGTCAGGCATCATAGTGGCTAAGATGAGTAGGCTCATGGCTCAATACATGGACAGGGCCCAGAAGGGAATGGGCAGTATTACCAGAGGAGCCAAGCACCAAGACCAGGCAGACCAATCTGTGCACCGCCTGGATTGACTACAAGAAAGCTTACGACTCAATGCCACATACATGGATACTAGAATGCTTGGAAATGTACAAAATCAACAGGACACTAATAGCCTTCATCCAGAACTCAATGGGGCTGTGGAAAACAAGTCTGGAAGCCAACTCAAAGCCAATTGCACAAGTCACCATCAAGTGCGGCATATACCAAGGTGATCTATCACCGCTGCTGTTCTGCATAGGCCTGAACCCCCTCAGCCAGATCATCACAAAGACTGGCTACGGATACCGGTTCCGAAGTGGAACAACCATCAGTCACCTGCTCTACATGGATGACATCAAGCTGTATGACAGAAATGAGCAAGACATCGACTCACTGATCCACACTACCAGGATCTACAGCGATGACATTGGAATGTTGTTCGGACTGGACAAGTGTGGTCGCATGGTATCAAAAAGAGCGAAGATGATCAGAACCAAGGGGATTGAACTACCAGAAGGCCACATTGCAGATGCTCAGGACAGCTACAAATACCTTGGGGTGCCGCAGGCTAACAGAAACCATGAGGAGGCAGCAAGGAAGTCCGCCACAGCCCAATACCTGCAAAAATTATGGCAGTTCCTTAAAAGTCAGCTGAATGGGAAAAACAAGATCCGAGCCATCAACACATACCCTGCATGCCCTGCCAGTCATCAGATACCCCACTGGTATAATAAACTGGCCAAAGGAGGAGATAGAGGTTACTGACATCAAGACAAAAAAGCTCCTCACAATGCATGGAGGGTTTCACCACAAATATGAGGGAGGCTGAGGGCTAGTGAGTGTCAAGACCACTGTCCAGGATGAAACAACAAAGATCCAGGAGTACAGCAGGAAGATGACCCCAAAGATGAAGGGCTTAGTGAATACCTCAGGTAGCAGAAACCCGAGGGTAAGGACAAGGAAGATGAAGAACCTTCATGGAGAGACAAGCCGCTGCACGGCATGTACCACAGACAAATAGAAGAAGTGGCCGAAATCAAGAAATCCTACCAGTGGCTGGAAAAGGCTGGACTGAAGAACAGCACAGAAGCACTAATCGTGATGGTACTAGAACAGGCACTCAGTACAGGATAAATAGAGGCCGGGGTCTACCACACCAGGCAGGACCCCAGGTGCACTGGGACTTCAAGATCCAGACTGACAAACTGGTGATGGCTGACCAACCAGACATCATGTTGATCGACAAACAGCAGAAGAAGGCTGCGGTGATAGATGTGGCAATCCCAAGCGACAGCAACATCAAGAAGAAGGAACACGAGAAGCTTGAGAAATACCAAGGGCTGAAAGAGGAGCTAGAAAAGATGTGGAAAGTAAGAGCAACAGTGGTGCCAGTGGTAATCGGAGCACTGGGGGCTGTGACCCCCAAACTGGGAGAGTAGCAGCAGATTCCAGGTAAAACATCAGAGGTCTCTGATGAACAAACAAAAACAACTAAAAATCAGTGTCAAATGTGAAATTAAAAAACAAAAAACAAATAAAGGAACAATTACTGAAATGACAAAAATGAAAATAATAATAATAATTTAAAATTTTATAGTACAATTATTTATAATATTTATCAGTCTATTCTGAGTTTCCACTGGTTGTCCTCAGTTTGTGGCATGAGGAGATATTTTGCTGCAATGGTTTGGCATTCTGGCATTTCTCCCAGTAAATAGGGGAGTTTCTGTGTGTCTGAATTCGGGGTATATTTGGGAAATATTTGCGAAGTGTTTTTCTCATACGGTTTTATATTTTTTTCTTTCTCAACTAAAAACGGAAGTTGCTTATATAAAGGCTGTGAGTGACAGACCCAGCTAAAAAAAGGAAACAAGCAGTTCCCCAAGACGATGCTCTGTGGTTTAACAACTGTGGTTATTCTGTCTACAAGTCAGATAGAACTCAACAGAAGGACTGTAGCGATGGCGGAGGAGGAGGTCAGCTACGCTTCAGTTGTATTCAAAACTAACAAGCGTTCCCCACCTGAAGGTAAGTTCAGTTTTTTTAAATCAAGAAAGATTTCTTAAAACCCATCATGTCATTGATATGGATCAGATACTGTATCCTTGTTTACACATCAATCTACCTGGGCCCCCACACGGCCCAGCTGGTTGTTCTAGGTGGCTGACCTGAATGTGATCATCATCATAATGTGACTTCTTACTTAAAACTGGACAATATATACAAGTGGAAATTGTAATGATCAGAATATGAAATAATATTAAAGTAATATTTTACTATCCTGTTAGTAACATTTGTTGTGCAACCATGAAAACGTTAAAAATTGGGGCCCCATTTACTATATTGGCAAAATAAGTTGATGTATCCACAGAAAGAATGAGCAGCATGACATTTTGGAAATTTTGGACAGACTGTGAGCAAAAATAGCGCTGGACTTTGATCCAGACCGGGCCACCAAAACGATCCACCTTATACTCCACCACGGCCACCCTGCTAATACAGGCACGTACAAACAGGACCAGCCTCTAATAAACCACCCAGCAGCATCACAGCCATTGATCACTATGGCAGTAGGCTACTACTTTTAAAAGGCATGGCCATAACCAGCTATGAGGTCACTGAGGTCCAGACCTCCATAATTATATTCAGTCTATAGCCTATTAATAAAACAAATTTGAATTAAAAACATTGATAACAAGCTCAACTTAAATAAAGGCTTTAGGACCATGTGGACGCAGCTGAAGTGGTGGGAACATTTAAGGCCTCATATTAGTCAACAAGATACTCCAATGCTATTTTGAAAAAATATTCATTGATGAAATAGGGTATTTGATTGGGGGGTCTGGAGATCCTCCCCAGAAATTTTGACCATTAAACTCTTAATTTCCTGCATTCTGGAGACATTTTCTGCACCAATTAATGGGAAAATGTATTTATTTATATGAAGGAAACAAAATACATGTGGCCGGTTACAAATCAGAATATAAAAATATTGTTGAATATAATGCAGTAATCAGTTGCTTGTTTTTTAAACCTAAGTTACTTTTGTTGGACAAGGCAGATCTGTTTCTTCTATATTTACATTGCATTTCATGCTTTTCTATTGTGCAAGTAGTTCTCATAGAATTTGTTAGTTATTTAGCCTAACATTTCTTGTTGCAAGCTAATTTTCAGAGAACTTTTAGCAAATGCTTGCATGTTCCCAGTGGAAATGACACTAATTCAACCCTCAAGTTGAAAAACTGTTCCCCATCGATGGTTGGTGTCCAGACCTGGGGAAACACATGACAACATTGTGCGCGCAATAAATACGTTTAGCAAATTTCAGGTTGTGTGAAACGGGGTGAAGCGTCTCCCCATGAAGAGAGACGCCGTGCGCATTTACGCACGAGCCACAGCAGCATAACTTCATATTTAAATCTCCCGACAAGCTGACAGGATCATCAGGATCTAATGTTAAATAATATGCTGTGTTTTTCAACACATCCAAAAGGTCTCGTACACAGTCCAGGTTCATACAGAGACACAGTCTGGAGTAAAGCAGCCGTCCTCCTGATCAATCCTGAGCTCCATCAGAGCAAACATTTCAGACGCTAAAAGGGGAATTCTGTTTCCTCTGCAGAGTTTCCTTTTTCTGACCTGTCTAGTTTTAAACTATTTTTGTTTTGTTTTGCTGCATAAATGTCCCACGATATTAACTGTGATGTTACTGCGTGCCTGCAAACGTCTGTCGCTTTGTGTTGAAAAGTGGTGAGTCTCCAGCATTGACAGCGTTGTGTTGGAGAGATTTGTGCAGTGAACAGAGATAAGGTGGTGCGCAAATACATGCGCGCAGCTCTGTAGAGATTTTTAATAGGCCTAGTAAAAACAATTGAAAATAAATATGTGGCGGTCAGCGTTGATATTGTCGCAGGCCACCCCAAATAAATCAGTGTATGGGAACACTGTACTGTTCAGCTGCACCATCTGTTATGAGTTAAGGATTCTGGTATTGTTTTGGTTCCATGTCTTGTGTTCTGCTGTTTTGCCCATGTTTGCTCTTTGTTTTGTTGATCCTGTTTAAGTCTGTTTGTGGTTCTGTGTTTCTCTGTGTAGCCTTGTTTATTATTTTACTCATTCGCATGTTTAAGTTTACTTCGTATCTGTCTTGTCTCTTATCTTAGGTCTTAGTCCTGCATTTTAGTTCTTTGCCTCAGTTCTAGTGTGTTCCCGTGTACTTTACTTCTGTTTTACTTTGTAGTATTCAGTACTCATGTGTCCTTGTCTAGCTTTGCTTCCTGTTGTTTGAGTATCTGATGTGTTTCAGCTGTGCTTCCCTCCTTGCTCATTTGCCTGTGTATTTAAGCCCTTAGTTTTGTTCAGTCTTTGTCACATCCTCTGTTGTTAAGGTTCCCTGGATCTTTGGATTACCTTGTGTTTGTTGGATTTACCTCAGTTTGGACTTTACCTTGTGCTTCCACATAAGCTTGTTTCAGTTTGTTTTTTGAGTTAATATATCTTTTTGAACTGCATCCTCGCCTTTTAGTCTGCACCTCAGTCTTCACGCAGCCACCCCCCCCATGACACTATCTGTGGCTTCGCTGTCCTCTCTGTTTAATCTTTCACCCATGAACCGGGTTGTGGCATCTTCCTCTTCCCGGTCTTAGCGTCTGTGGACCTACTACTACAGAACTAGTCAGTTACTTTTGTACATTTACTTGCATTTCAGTTAAACTCTGTTTTTCCATTTTCAGTTGTAGCTTGTTTTCCAGCTGTCAGAGTCACTGTGGTGTGAGTGAGGTGGATGGATGGGGTGGGGCTAAGGGCTGCATTGACGTTCATATGGAATAGACCAACAGGCAAGAAGAGTGGGGGGTTTGGCCCGTGTTGCTCAACCTTCTGCCACCTTTTTCGTTATTAGTACAAAAATTTAAGCTGAGGAAGGCGGCCCACTGTCACAGTTCTCCAGATGGCCAGGCCGCTACTGATTGTGGTGAACTGTTCTCTGTAAATGTTAAACTGTTTAGAATGATTGAGTCTTCTGAATTAATATTTACTTTAAAATTTGAATCTTTTACTAACTGTAATCCAGTGGACTGGCCCTAACCTCAGTTGTTGTAATCTGCTGCTCCAAAACATGTATATGTCATATACATATTGAACATATTGGATGTAAACTGATGGGTTTTAGTTTGCTTTTGTTTGATGTACAATGATGTGAAGGTGCGAAGCAAAACAACCGAAAAGACTGCTGACACAAACAGTAAGTTGTAAAGAAAAATGTACACAGCATTCAGTAGAGTATATCTATTAATACTACTATTACTGCTACAAATACTACCTCACATTTACCGTTATTACAACCATTAAAAGGGAACTAATAGGGGGGTCATGAGGAGTACTGCTCAGCCTGTGAAAACAGTAGGAGCTTTGTTAATAACTTAGAGACTGCTAATTTTAACAAAGACTTACAAACTGGGGGTGTGGAGTTCAAAAAGATATTGATGTTTCACAGGCAGGGAAGCTCTAGTGAAAAGATAAAATCACCTTGAACTATGGGAAGTGTAGGATCCATTGTTTTTGGAGTTTAAGCCAAAGTAGGGAATTTATATTTTGAGATTTTCTGATTTGTATTTTGACAAGTGCTTCAACTTCTGCTGTTACAACTGCCACCAATTCTTCTATTACTGCTTCTAATGCTACTTTTAGCACAATGACAAAAAGCACTTTTCTTAAAGAACAGGTTCACACATTTTAAAGTCCATCATTAAACAAGGTGCCCATGTGAATACTGAAACATGTTTTGCTGCCTGTAATAATTTCCTTTGTAATGTGCTTCGACTGTAAGAGATGGGAGACAAAATCTAAAGTCTTTGTTCTGTATAGAAATGTGTTCCAAAGTTCATCTGAAGCTTTTAGCAGTCTGAGTTAGTCAAATCAAGTGGGTACCTTTTACACCGATTTATGGTGGAAATTTATTTATATGAAGGGAAACAAAATGCATGTGGCCGGTTACAAATCAGAATATAAAAATATTATCGGATATAATGCAGTAATCAGTTGTAATCAGTCTTTTACTTACTGACTTTTTAAGTCTTTTTACACCAAAGTTTAAGAGTTTGGTGTAGAAATACTGTAACTTTGAAAAATACCCTCTTGATTTGGTTAACTCAGACTGCTGTAGCCATATACTTATATCTGTTGTTTGTTCTCAGCAGGACTTTTGCCAGACAAGAAAACAAACAGCAGAGGTCGCTGCTATCAGCAGGTGGCTTGTTGTTTGGGGATTCTTTGTGTCATTTTGCTGTTGGGCATCATAGCAGTCTGTGTCTACAGTAAGTATACAAAACAGGTAGTCTATGCAGTACCTCAGACTCAGACATGAGGCAGAACTTGAAGAATAACAGCACCAGTTTTCCTCTGTAACATTACTATAACCATAACCAGAGGATCTATTACAGGTTGTTTTACCTATAGATTTCTGCCTCTAGTCTAAATCTGTTACAAACAAAGTTAATTTCTGGACACAATGTAGACAATAGACAGTAAGTAATACAACTGTTCTTGTTTATGTGATTTATATTTTTAACAATGTGCAAACCATTTATTTTATTTGTACAGTGCAGCATCTCAGAAAGCATCAAGCCGCCAACTCTTGGGTTTGTCAGCATCATAGACAAATTTGAAATACAAGTTGAGTTGATTGAATATATCTTTCATATACAACCAGAAGACACAACACAGCAGAGGAAGACTGGTGACAGCATTAGTGGAAATTAGACATGTATGCATAAAAGGAATTAAACAATGAGTCAAATGAATTACTGTCAACATATTCCATGATCAGCCCCAAACAAACACTGAATTGATCCTACAAACAAATACTGATACTAAAAAATCTGTAAATGCTCCATATTTGTATAGCACCTTTCTAGTCTTTTCAACCACTCAAAGCGCTTCTTACACTACTGCATTCACCATTCATTCACTGGCAGGGGCAGATCAGGGTTCAGTGTCTTGCCCAAGGGAGCCAGGGTTGCCGCCGACCT